CCTTGTCCTCACTGTATCCTACCTATATCCTAGATTAACCAAGGTTTCCTTGTCCACACTGTATCCTACCTGTATCCTAGATTAACCAAGGTTTCCTTGTCCTCACTGTATCCTACCTATATCCTAGATTAACCAAGGTTTCCTTGTCCACACTATATCCTACCTGTATCCTAGATTAACAAAGGTATCCTTGTCCACACTGTATCCTACTTGTATCCTAGATTAACCAAGGTTTCCTTGTCCACACTGTATCCTACCTATATCTTAGATTAACCTTGGGTTTCCTTGTCCACACTGTATCCTACCTTTATCCTAGATTAACCGAGGTTTCCTTGTCCACACTGTATCCTACCTATATCCTAGATTAACCAAGGTATCCTTGTCCACATTGTATCCTACCTATATCTTAGATTAACCAAGGTTTCCTTGTCCACACTGTATCCTACTTGTATCCTAGATTAACCAAGGTATCCGTGCCCACAATGTATCCTACCTTTATCCTAGATTAACCAAGGTTTCCTTGTCGACGTGCTGTATCCTACCTATATCCTAGATTAACCAAGGTTTCCTTGTCCACACTGTATCCTACTTGTATCCTAGATTAACCAAGGTTGTCCACACTGCATCCTACTTGTATCCTAGATTAACCAAGGTATCCTTGTCCACAATGTATCCTACCTATATCCTAGATTAACCAAGGTTTCCTTGTCCACACTATTTCCTACTTGTATCCTATATTAACCAAGGTTTCCTTGTTCACACTGTATCCTACTTGTATCCTAGATTAACCAAGGTATCCTTGTCCACACTGTATCTCAATTGTATCCTAGATTAAACAAGGTTTCCTTGTCCACACTGTATCCTACCTATATCCTAGATTAACCAAGGTTTCCTTGTCCACACTGTATCCTACCTATATCCTAGATTAACCAAGGTTTCCTTGTCCACACTATAGTCTGTCATTATCTTGGAGGCTTTGTTCACCCAGACCGGCATCATCTCAAAGATCTTGTTAAAACGCTCTAAAAAGAAAAAAATTAATTAAGCAACAAATTTTTTTAAAAACGCTCTAAAAACTAGACCAATATTCTATAAAAAAAAAAATTATTAAAAAAATGCTCGGAAAACAATTAAAACTAAACAATTCATGTAAAACACTAATTAAAAAACGCGTTGAAAACGATTGGGATGGGGGGTATTTTCCCTTTGTTTATTTCAAAATAACTTCATAACAGCTGATAAAAACTTTTTCAACTTCCTAGTTGTTAGCAAGTAGCAAGTTTTGTTAAACACAATTTTTTGACGCATAGGGTAGGGTTGAGGCCAGTCAAACGGCGGTGTTAAAAATATTATGTTGATATTTGTCAAACGTAAAAAAATTTATTTTTTGAACATTTTTCCAACGTACTTTTAAACTTTTTTAGAAATCCTACCCTTGCACCCTAACCAGTAACCATTAAAGAATTAGGTTTAATTTTATTTTAAAGAACAGGCCTTGATAAGTTGGAATAGGGTTATGTATCACACTCCCATAAGGGCAAAAATCAGGGGATGGGGGGATTACCTTGTTGAGTTGACCCAGGGACAGGTTCACACGCGCGCAGGCGCACATTCCTGTTTATCCGATCCAGCACGCCGATCACCTGACAAGATTGGTAAAAAAAAACAATTACCAAATCAAATGTGTGGACATTAAAGGGACTGAAAGCGTAATTTCAAGTGACCTTTTATGCAAAGATGACAATGTCCAAAGTACAACGGTAACCTTGACACCCTTTTCTAATCAATAATGTGAAAGATATTGTGGTTTTTCTACGTTTAACAGTTTTAAATTCTAATAATTATTGCTTGGGTTCCTTTAGAAGAAATGTGCAAGTGACATTAGAAGAGAACCACCATTGGAAATGATAAGTTCTCAAAGTCATTAACATTGATAACATTGATAGTAAATTCATACTTGATCAGACGAAGCTTTCAAGGATACCGTTGTGAATCAGGCATTGGCATGGAGGGTTACGCTAGTAGTTCCTTAAAGTAAAAAGATAGAGCTAAATATTTTTACCTCCACCCTCACATCTCGTCTGTTTCCATCCTAAAAAGTACATTGATTAAAAAATCTCAAAAATGGCGATTAATACTGAAGCTATACACATTACACAACTACACATCAGCTGATTCAAGATGGCGTCTCACGTGGTACCTGGGTTGAAGTTCCTAGACTGATAACTCCAATCTCCACGACACGGCCTACTCCTCCCATATTAACCACCTCATCCTAAACAAATGAATCTTAAATAACTCATTTTAAACAATTAAAAAAAAAAACATCTTTAGATTCTTTCCAAGTATTGAAACTGTATCTTATATCTGATATCGAATAAAACAATTTCATGGGTGCCCTCAATTTTTTTCTGGACATTATCACATAAGTATTCAGACGGATTAAAAATTTACCTGCACAGCGGCAACACAGATAGCTCTGGCGGTCTGATAAACCTTGTCGATGACCGCCTTGTCGACCTTGACCCACTGCTCGACGTTGGGTATGTTGGTCTGACAGCACCAATGGTAGATGAGTTTGATTACAGTCTGAGGGGCGGTGGTTCCTATCATAATTAGATCAGTAATTTCGATCTTTATTGTAGTAATGCTTAGGATCCGGATCCGGATCCGCAACATTCTAGCACCCTGGATCCGGATCCGCAAAAATATGTGGATACACGGCTTTGGATCCAAAGGGCAAATTATGACTAAAAAAACTGAAAAAATACTTCTTACTCTAAAAACTTAAATCTGAACTATTTAAAACTAGAGATTATCAAAAATGTTCTTATAACAGAATGGTTCATCAATTTTTTGCATAAAAAAATAAGCAGAAAAAGATTAAAATTAATTTGAATTTTTCTTGTATTGAACAAATTGGACAAAACCTGGGATCGAATTTAAAGAATTTTAGTCGCGGCTTAAATCCGCCGAAATCCGGTTTAAATTAAACATTTGATACAATTTTAAGTGGAACCAACCATATTTAAGCCGCGGCTTAAATTTAAACCGCCGCTCAAATTCTTTAAATTCAGCCACAGGTCAAAAGTAGCTTTAATAAAGATTTAAATTGCTAAAATGATGACGGATTTTATGATGTTAAGTTTATTTTTTTTCTTTATTAATTTTTTAATTTAAGTCAGGGGGGGGGCTAGATTTATTTCGGAACCAAAAAATCCAGATTTAGGAACCAAAGACGCGCCACAATCGAAATTTGTTTTCTGAGATAGATAATTTTTTCTGTTTTCCCTTAAGTGCCAATGAGAAGCTATTCTGAAATCTTAGGGGGTGCAAGGGTCCTGCCGCTCCCCCCCCCCTGTATCAGCCCCTGTATAGAAGGGGTACTTTCTAGGTAAAATGAATTGGGGCAAACAATTAAAAAATTAAATTTCCAACTTTAAAGTTCCTAAAAACTTGTTAAAACGTTTCGTTCTATTTTAAATCCTCCTCTCCTCACATCAAAACACAATTTACTTAAAATCAAACTTTTCAAAAACAAAATTCAATTACAGTGATTTTATTACTCATGAGGTGAGGATTAAAATTCTTTAAACAATTTTTGTAATAAGATATCTGTGACATATTTACCTATTTCAAAAATGCTTCCCTTGAATACACTGGTATATCTTGAACCAGCTCCATCATGCAACCAAACATAACCTCCACTATAGGGGAACCTAAACAAAAAAAGGGGTAAAAAGGGCTGTAATCTTACTTTCATGTAGGCCCGCATGCAAAGATGGCAATGCCCGATTCACATCGGTACCCTTGAAAACTTATTCTAATCAAACATGTGGAGGATACGTCGTTTTTCAGACCTAAGTTCAATTTTGATAATTTATCCATTGCAAGAAATTCGCAAGTCACTACTCTGCAAAAAAAAACCGCAAATGAAAGAACAGTTTACAGAAAAAAAACGTGGATATCTTTTTGTATTTAAATATTTATTAGTTTAAGACAGGTTAATTTATTCTTTTTCCTATGTATTCAGAAAAGAATGTTACAATATATAAATTTCATGTTACAAGTTAAAAATATTTTTTCAATCATGTTCACACGCATGATATTTATAAGGAGTTAGAAGAGGCTTGGTTTGAGACACACGATTTTCAAAATACACAATAATTTTATGTTGCTTATTATGATTGTACGAAATGTGATGTTGCACATTTTTCCGGAATTCGGATTGTTAATAAATATAATAACTTCACAATGTTCCGAATTAAGATAGAGAACAAAAAGCTCAGAATTAAGATTTTTTTCAATTAGAAAACAGTTCTATTGTGGATCTTTCAATTAAAGGTCCTTAGATGATCCTTACTCTTTTCTTTGTATTGGCTGTTTTTTCGTATTAGCTGTTTTTTCGCATTAGCTTAAATTCGTTTTTTATTAGCTGATTTTTTTTGTATTAGCTGACATTTTTTCGTAATTAATTAATTTTTTGTCGTATTAGCTGGATTTTCTTCGTATTAACTTATTTTTTTTTCACCTATAAGCAGAAATATTTTTTCGTATTATCTGTTTTTTCGTATTAACTGATTTTTTCGTATTAGCTGAATTTTATTCGTATTAGCTGATTTTTTCGTATTTGCTGGATTTTTACGTATTCGCTGATTTTTTTTCGTATTAGCTAAATTTTGTTTGTATTAGCTAATACTTCATAATTGATCAGACCAAGTTTTTAAGGGTAACGTTTGGATGAAGGGGATTGTTATCTTTGCATGGAGGGTCACTTGAAATTACACGTACAGTCCCTTTAAGATGGATTTAATTTTTGTAAAATAAAAGTTGTTACAAAAATCCAAATTCCTGAAAAGTCATATATAAAGCAATCAAAATACATTTGAGATGTTTAAAATTAACCTTTTCCCATCTGAGTACATGCCAAGCTTGAGCTTGAGTTTTCCACTGGATAGTTTTTCATACTGCTCAGACCTAAAAATCATATATATAAATATATATATGTAAATATATGTATATGTATATAAAATAGAAATCTCTGTTTGTCCATTTGTTTGCATGTCCAATCAAAACTCTGAAAACTCCTGGGACCCTTTGACGGATTTCAGGATAGGAAAAGAGGGACAACTACATCATTTTTCTCAGACATTCATCTCTAAAGAATTGAGTGGCAGTTGAAATTATGTCTACATCCCCCTTCACCCTACATCTCCCAGATTGCACCTGACAAGTACTTTTAACCCTACATATCTCTCTAATTGTACCTGACAATCCTCTTTAACCCTTCATATCTCTAATAGTACCTGACAAGTACCTTTAACCCTTCATATCTCTAATAGTACCTGACAAGTACCTTTAACCTTTCATATCTCTAATAGTACCTGACAAGTCCCTGCTGGATTAACCACTCTGTAAACTTGGCTGGCGTGTGAACAAGAAGCGTCTTCACTTTGGCATCCAACTCACTTCTCTTTGCCGCGGCATTCAATATGGTTCGGTTTGCGCGCGCCTAAAATTATTATTCATGATTGATTGAAAATAAAAATGTATATAAATTTCACAGCAAACTAAAGTGAAGAAGTAAGTTAAATTTAAGCGACACCATAGGTACAACTTTATGACCTTGTAGGTCCGCTAGTTTTGATTTTATGAATAGTAAAAGTAAAAGTAAAAAATTATTTATTTATGAAATATAACAACAAAATACAAAATTTAGTGTTTCAGGAGAAAATTTTTTAAAAACCTCTAAAAGAAGAGGTTGTGGGAATATTTCCCCCAATTCTAAAAATATATAAATATAGAAATAAAAGGAAAAGGAAAGGAAAGGATAAGGAAAGTTACATATTTATTGTTTACACTATATTTAAATTAGTGGTGGATTGTTAGTAATTTCGACGATGAGCTAACAACTTTTAGAAATAAAAATTATAGATTTATTTGTAATGTTAAAAAAAAAAGTAAAAAAAGCTTTATGGAGTGTGAAAGATATATAGGTTCTATGAAAAATGGGCATTTTTAAGCTTTTTTTAATTCGCGCTGATTTTTGACATCCTTTATGTTTGAATATATCTTTCACTCTTATTAATCTTCTTATTCTTTTCTTTGAAAAGTCGTCTTTGCTTTCTTCGATTCTTTTGCAAACAGAGCATGTGTTAAGAATTAAAACATTTGTACGACGGATAAAAATCTTCTATTAAATTCTGTTTAAAATTCGAAATAAGATTGATATTTGAAAGCTTAGAAAAGTGTCGTTTATTTTCATACCATTTTTTAGGAAAATTGTGAAGGGGGAGCAGTCAAATCTTAATAGATTTTATTCTAGGAATATAAAAATCATTTCTGTTTCTAAGACTTGCGTTTTTGATATTTTTTATTAGTAAAAAATCTTTTTTAAATGTTGATCTCCTTTCAATTAAAATAAAAATTTTATGACATTAAAAATTCCTAATTTTCTGAAGGGGAGTATGTTTAAAGCCCAAAAAGCTAAGTCTGAGAAAATCAAATTTATCTACAACTCTTCAATTTTAGGAGTTTTGCTAAAAACAATTTCAATTTTGCGTTTAATTTTCTTCAATTTAATTTTCTTCAGTTTGATGGGATCGGTCTCTGTATCTTAAAAATAATGACGAAACATAATCATTAAATATGAAAATATGCTATTTTTAACTTTCTTACCACGACGGATAGGGCCGGGAAGACTTTCCTGAGAGGAGGAGCTCCAACAGGTTCTACACCAGGCTTGGTCAGATCAACTATAGGAGGAGTTACAGTCTGGTATCAGAGAAAAATGATTCAAATAATAATCAAATGAGGGTGTTATAGAGAAACTTGAAATGAATTTACTAGTTCAAGAATGAAGACTTATAGCTTGTACCGTATTAAAAATATAGATTGAAAATATCGTCTTTGAATTAATGATTCTTAACTTAACTAAATAGCAAACACAGAAAGATAGGTAGTCAGCAAAATGATTGAAAGGACGAAAAAATGTCTGTTGGTAGATGAGGTAAAAAAGAAAAAATGTACAACAAATGTGCTTTTATGAAAAAGTCAGGTTTTTCTAAAATATTTTGAGATAAATATTTGTCGAGATAACGAGTACATAAACTAAATCAATTCTAGCTCCCTTGGTGGCAGGTGTTTGAGTTCTTGCACCCGGAGATGGTCTGCTGGGAGCTGGAGATCGTCTTGAAGCAGGACCTCCTGCTCCTGGAGTTCTAGCAGCAGGACTAGGAGCTCCAGGACGAACTCGACCTGCTGAAGGAGCTGGAGCACGGACAACAGTTTTTGCCTAAATATATGACATCAAAACTTTTTTGTGGCTTTTAATTTCTTATTTAGGAAAACTTAAAGGGACTGTTAACGTAATTTCAAGTGACCTTTAATTTAAAAACATTTTTCAGAGGAAAAATTATCATAATATCCGCGTTTTTCAATTGATTTTCAATTGCAGTTATCTGTAAAAGTGACTTCAGGTTTATGCAGCAAGGACAACAAAAGGTGAGAATCAGGAACACGCTTTAGATTGAGGGTCACCTGAACCAGGCCGACAGTCGCTTTAATTTTCAAAATTACAGAAAACATTTGTTGTGATAATAGTCACAAGTTTACAATACCAATAAGACAAAATGTTAAGCACGCTATTGATCGAATTAAGGAATTCAATTTGGCTAGATTTTTTTTTAAATTGAGAAAATAACAAAAAATAAAATTAATGATTAATTTTGGGATTTGTGTTGTCAAAAAAAATTGGGAAAATTAAAAAAAACAAAAAATCATTGAAATTGCTGATCAATTTTAGGATTTGGACTGAACTAAAAAAATTGGGAAAATTACAAAAAAAAATAAATGCTCTTTGCCAAAATCATAAAAAATAACACTTTTTCTTAACAATCTCTGTATTATACCTGCTGCATAATTTGAGGAGCCTGTGCCCTAGGCTGCTGGGAACCAGTTAGAACTGGTCGCATAATCTGACCGCTGGAGGTCACTAGGGTCGCCTGACTGGACATCACGGAGGGTAAACTAGATGCTGGGAGAGTACCAACAATTCTAAACAAAATTAGTTGAACTCAATCCTAGGAAAAAAAACCCATTTATTATTGTTAAGTTTATATATTTGGATTCATAATTTTTTATGAAAAATATACAAGGGAAAAATTAATGAATATCGGATTTTAGAATAATCTAAAAAATTTCAAATTGCCATTTTTTGTTTAAATCCTAGAAAACATCACGAGACGAATTGACGATGTAATATCACGGCAATTGCTAAAAATGTCAAGGAAGGCAAAACATAATAATAATTATTAGTAATTGAAGATGGCCCAGTGTAATAAATATCGACCAACCTGCCAGTTTTAGGGTCCATTAGTAGCCTGTATCCCGGGGGTACAGTTGTCACAGTACCCGGAGGGACTCCAGTTACAGACTAGAGATGAAAAGATAGATGAAAAGATGAAAAAGTTTACTTTTTTCATTTTTACAATAACAAAATCTCATGAACTAGCATAGAATGACAACTTACACAATAACTGTGCAAACCAAATAAACGCCATAAATCTTTCAAATAATCCAACTGATTTCATGAAAATAATTATGATTTCTATCATGGTATCCCTGTAGTGCTGAGCTGGTATTAGTCACAACGTTACCCACACTTGTTGATGTTTCAGTCACCCTACAAATTAAAAAAAAGTTAATGGGACTGTAAGCGAAATTTCAATTGACCTCCTTGCAAAGCTGGCGATTTATAGCTTTATTCAATGTTTAAAATTTCGAAAAATTATTATTTTAGTTTTTCTACAATTGCACATTTCAACTGCAGGAAAACAATTTAGGAATTATTTGAATTAAACCCTTATGAACCTAGATAAACGACCATTTTTCTCACAGAATTAATCAGATAAAGGTTACAAGGGTACTGTTGTGAATCGGGAATTGACATCTTGGCAAAGCGGGTCAATTGAAATAACGCTGGCAGTCCCTGTTAATTTTCAAGACTCTATTCGTTTAGCACGAAGAATACACAAGGTTTGTCCGATCAGAACTCACGAACCCCTCAAATTTTGATTGTGGAACTTGTAAGAACCAAATATATTTTATTACCTTGGTTGGAAATTTTTAAGTTGAGTGGGTCAACTTCTAGAGAAAAAATGTCTAAACTCTTAATTTAAGACCAAGCGCGGGTAAACGGCGCGAGTAACTATAATGAGTAAATATTTCACCTGAATGTAACCGAATTATCTGAGTTGGGGGTAACCTTGGCTCCCTTTCTAACCAATTCCTCCAGCTTACCCATGGCATCCTTAACACAGATTTGATAAATTCAAAATTCAAGCCAAATTGACCTGAGGCCGAATTTAAAGAATTCTAGCCGCGGCTCAAACAAGGTTAGTTCCACTTGAAATTGTATTGAGTGTTTAGAGATTTGAGCCGGCGCTGAATTGAAACCGGTTTAAGGTGGTTCAGCGACGCGGTTTAAAGTCTTTAAATTCGGCCTTAGATCAACTAGGTATGGAGAGTTGATCTAGTTTTCTAGTCTCTATTGCAATATTGGCCACACTATAGATAAATGAATATTTCTCCTAACTCCAATATATTTGAAATGAAAGGTTATTACTGCTTAATGATTCTATTTTATCTTGTTTCTTGTTTACAAGGCTTTTGAGGCAATTAACGCCCCTCTTTTATCAGCAATTTTATCGTTAATATATTACTATTCAAGCTGCCTTTTTTACTTTGTGATAGTAAAACCAAAAAAATTCACAAATAAAATAGTGAATTTTCAACAAAAATGAAAGTCGAATTTTTTTTATTTCACAACAATGTGGGCTCGATCGGTTCAGCCGTTTCGAGGCAACAACTATCAGACAGACCAATCAGATACCTTAAACTCCTTCTGCTTTTTGGTGTAGAAATCCTTCTGAGCATCTGACAGTTCATCTTCAACGCACTCCATAGACAGCGAGGTCACGTTCTTATCCTAGATACCAACATTCTTTAGGGATGCAGGGTGTCCCAACAAATATGACACTATAGTTTTAAGCTTATTGATACAGGGTGTCACAAAAATATGGGAATAAAGTAAATATTTTTCATCGTCTTCGATTTACGCGGTATTTAAACATTAATCAAAGAAGTAAACTCTTGGTCATGAGTTTTCCAAAATGAGATCTGCCGTTATCGTACTTTCAAGTGAACATTAAACAACGGAAAATTATAAAATTTTGTAAGATTACATTTCATACAATAATACAGAAATTGTCTGATTATCTTATATTCACAAAAGTTATGATAAAAAGAAGTAAACTTCATTTTAGAAAGTTCATTGAGGTCCAGGGTGTGTGGAATTGCTTGAAAATTCTCTACAGATGACGACCTGTACTCTGGACTGTGCGGGCAACTACAGCTATCCTCATAATGCTCCTACCTGGAGTTCTGAGGATCACCACACATGTAACCAAGTAAGTAAGTACAACATTTAGATACAAAAACCGAAAACAATCTCAACATCATTTTTCAATTTTTCAGTAAATTGGAACACCCTGTAGGTAACAACCCTGAAAACATTTAGTCTCACACAAACCGATTTAGTCGGTTAAAATGTTTCCTGTGAGACCTGGGAAAGCAAATGTAAAAATAAAAAACAAACAAAAAATTTTACGGCAATTGTCTTTCTTAGTCCTCATATACTGAAACTTATTCATCATCTGAATTGTTATTTCCAATATTTACTAGCAAAAGGGCCCGCCCTGCAAACATTTAGTCTCCAACAAACCGATGGCGAACATATAAAATCCAGAATTATTTTCCCGCCAACTTCGACATCGGCGCATAGAGTATGTAAAAAAGTTTCCTAGGCGGCGTTGCCCGTGGAGAAAAAAATTTGAGAAAATTTGAAGAAAAAAAATTTGAAAAAAAATATTTTGATTTTTGTTAGCCTATAACACCCACCAGCCACCCATGAGTGTCCACAAACATTTTCAGCCCAATCGGTCCAGCCGTTTGGCCGACTATACGCAACATTTATGTCTTTTTTATTATATAGAAATAACACCGTAAATGTTTAGGAACAACTCACCTGTACAGGTGATGGCGATTCTTCCACACTTACTGGCGTTACATCGCCTCCGACGGAAGTGCGATTCCGCCGTTTCGGAGGTGGCATTTTCTCTGGAATATTCTAGCTCAAGACCTAGTGCCTTGAAGATATATGTGTTTGTAATTCTGGGCAATAACATTTGAATTTCTTAACACTTCTGAATGTATAACTGAATCCGTGACAAGAGAACTTATGATTTGAAAGAAAAAATACTTTGAAAAAGTTAAAAATCACAATTAAAGGGACTGTAAGCATAATTTTAAGTGAACTTCCTCTTATTAAGTACAGAATGTCATATTTACAACGAAACTCTTTAAACCCTTGGTTGAAACATGACCAAAGATTTCTTGGATATTCTTATTTAGAGCGGAAAATTAAGTGCCAAGAAGCCGTGCAAGTGTACACTTGCATGAAGTGTTCAGGTAACCTAGAGTAGTCTCCCTGCACTCGATTTTCAGCTATGCAAATGTGGGTATCTAACTCATTGTACTCTGAACAAAGGCTAGTACCGTTTTAAATCGGACATGCTGCTCTATAAAAGAAAAGTCACTTGAAATTACGCTCACAGTCCCCTTTTGATCTACCTCGTTTCTTTGATACATCAGGGTATAAGGATGGAACAGCTCCCTTTCTCAAGGATGGGCCTCTGCCAATGCCATTATCCTTCCATTTTCCCTTTTTAAAACTTTTCTTGCTAAAATGCAAGTTGCAGATGAAAGTGTTTTTTGTAAAGTTCGGTTTTAATACCGCCACCCATTCGGGGGATGGGTTCTTAGGTACCCTATGGAAGCTGGTGTATTTGTAAGTAGTGTTTCGTTTGCATTTAGGAACTCCACAATATCTTGGCATTATCTAAAAATCTGAAGAAAAAAAACTGAAACTCGAACACACAATTTCACCTAGCCGGACATGCACTGAGCGAACTGAGCCCGTTCTCTCTATAGATAGTGGTCGTGTAGTTCATGTACATCGTGGTCGTGTAGTTCATATGTTGATAGATAATTTCTCCGTACACTTCACGACCAATATAGGAGACGTCAAGTTGTCGACCAATGTGGTTAATGCATTGGTACTGGAATAGGGTATCCCAACGAGGCTCGCGCACGAATGAAAGGTCGATACGGTACGGGGGGAAGATCCGTATCCTCTGACGTCACTGATTAAAACTATTGGTGGAGAATTCTCAGACCACCAAAGAAATGCCAATCACAATCATGCGTATACTCGCCAGTGTCCACTTTGTGCCCTGTACCGGGTTATGACGTAGGTAAGATACAGAAGCTAGAATTGTATGACTACCTTACCCTATTCAAGTACCCATGGGTAAATGGAAGGAACGGCCTCTGAGCAGCCAATTTAACTGGATTATTTGTGTACTGTATGTGCTTTGTGTGCACGTCATGTATTGAAAAATGTTATGTACAGTTATACGCAAATATAATCCGTGTACAGGTACACAGTATGAAGCCCGCTATAGTGTACACTGTACACTAATACACTGTAAATTTAATGCGAGTTCTTTTAATATGTTGCTTTTGTACGCAGACGCTAAATACAACATATTGACAATATTTCAAATTTTTCATAAGGAAATTTAATTGCCAAGTCCGGGGTATTTTTTCATAAAATCTTTTAAGTTCTCTTGTCAATTGGAATTTAACAGACTGTATTTTATCAAATAGACATTTAATTTGATTTTTGAATATGTTTGGTGGATTTTACGAATGCTCTATTACACTCATCGACTGCTGCCTTTCCAGTCAAATACGCTGCAAACCCTGGGACATTAATATTAATATTTGTCAATATTTGAGAAATATATCCTAAACACGAGGTGTGTAAGGCAATTGGACGACAACATCATTTCTGAATCCGAGCCGCATTCTCCTCATTTACTTAGCCAAGCCTCATAAAGGTGGCTCATAGTAGAAATTATGAAATGTGGCTAGGAAGCAAAAATTAGGTGGTTGACTTTTCTCCCCTCGGTTTAGAAAGCAAATTATTGTTTATTGTAAAAGAACATTAATTAATTAAATTTTTCTATATATATTTATGTTCCTGTGAATACAACAGAGGACAAAACGATGGTGGATCGCTTCATTCCTTTCATATTTCTAAAATAAATTTGGTTTCATGAAATTATTTAAAATTTTACTTTTCATTTATAATTATCAATAATTGAGAAAACAGAAATCAAGCTTTAATATTTTCATATAATTACAATTTATAATTATCAAGATTGCATTTCTGACGTCGTAACTTTTATTTTGTCGATCCTAGGATCAAGCAGTTATCCATATCTTTTCCCCGACGTCTCATAGACAGGGAGCGAGCCAGGGGGCGGAAACGTCATGTATGTGTGTCTGTACCAAAAGAGTGCGTGTAAGGAATACCGAACCGAAGGCGTGTAATGTAGGTCTATGCAGTACATAAGAATCTCGGTATTTGTACAGTCTAGGAGAGTATATTTGTTTATTGTTAATTGTAAATGTAATATATTATTTACATATTTAAGTCAACACTATAAAGCCAAATTTTCATGCAAAGAATAAAAACTGATTAAAGTTTACAATAAACTACTCCTTATTCAAGTTTAATTATAATTGACGACATTGTTATGCAATATTTTTGACCGTAGTCATGTTGTGTGTCAGTACCAAAAGAGTGTGTGTAAGGAATACCAAACTCGTCTGCAAAGCAGTGCGACTGGCTTTCTCATGCCAGACCAGCGCCATTTCCTTTCCCTTTATTCCTATTCCCTAGAGCGAGCACATTTAATTGAAACTTACAAATCACGTGGTTATCGATATAAAGCATTGTACTGTAGATTATCGATATTAAGCGCTGTACTGTAGATTATCCCTATTAAGCGTTGTACTGTAGAGTATCGATATTAAGCGTTGTACTGTAGATTATCGATATTAAGCGTTGTACAGTAGATTATCGATATTAAGCGTTGTAATGTAGATTATCAATATTAAGCGTTGTACTGTAGATTATCGATATTAAGCATTGTACTGTAGATTATTGATATTAAGCGTTGTACTGTAGATTATCGATATTAAGCGTTGTACTGTAGATTATCGCTAATTCCCAAAGTTTCAACAAGTTAAATGTTTTCTAAGACATCAAGACATGAAGTGATGATTAAACTTTCAAAATGTATTAAAGGATATTTTAAACTATGAATTCTGTTAGTTCAAATCTTATTCTGTTAGTTCAATCTTATTTTGAAATATCAAAGATTCAAACAATTAACTTGAAAAAATACAGGGATTCGAAAATTGGAGTTTGTGGCAAAGACTCCATTTCTTTTTACATAAGCACTTACTTTGTAAAATATTTTTGTCCAAAATACAATGAGGAAAAGGTGATTGATCCTTGAAAACAAAACTAGTATAAAACCAAATGAAACAATAGATGGAATTGAGCTATAAAATTTTTTTTTAATGTTTTCAGAGGAACCCCTCCCCCTCCCCCTTATTATTCTAATTATTTAAAACAAAGTTCCAAATGTCTATGCTTTTGTTTCTTAAAATTGAATATACTAGTTTCCTATGCCAAGAGATTTAAGCAAACATCGAGAAATGCATTCTGAGTATCTTCCTCTGAAAGGTAATAATATAATGTAATAACTTCAAACAGGAAAACAGAGGTGTTCACTGTATATTTTCCTCTGAAAGGTAATAATATGATGTAATAACTTCAACCAGGAAAACAGGGGTGTTCACTGTATATTTTCCTCTGAAAGGTAATAATATGATGTAATAACTTCAAACAGGAAAACAGGGGTGTATATTTTCTCAAATAATCATTTCCTTCCTCATTCTAGAAATAATTGTATTCTCCCAGAAGTTCATTTATATGGATCCATTGGGTAAATAAATGATTTTAGGGAAGAAATACTGCATTTTTGAGTAAAAAGTTTCATTGAAATAATAAAACCTTGCCTTTTCTTGTATAATTTTACATTTTACATACAAAATATTTTCCCCTGGGGGAGGGGGAGGGTAATTCTGCAAGAAAACAGAACAAATAAGTTTTTACTAAGAAATTCATAATTTGTACTGAACTATGTTCATCAAATCTAATTTTTCCAGGAAATAATGGAATAATGGAACAGCGAAGAAAATAAGGAAATACCGAGACAAATCGTCAGCTATAGAAAATCAAGAATAACATGGTGAAAGCAAAGTTGTAGAAATGCAAATATTATCAAAGGGACTGTTGGTGAAATTTTAAACGACCCTCAAGAAAAAATATCGAATACCGCTTTTGGCATATAAAATCTTTAATATTTTTAAGGGACACGAATGACATCAGCTTGGTTGAGTTCACACTGTACCCTAACGTACACTCAATCCAACACAGCAATTCAAACTTAATTTAGGAAATAAACAGTGAACACACGAAACTCTCTGTCATCGATTCAAAATCTGACATTGCCTTGTTTAAATGGACGGTCACTTAAAATTACGCGTATAGTTCCATTAAGAAGTAAAATTGAGATAAGTTAGACAAAATAAGAAATGATAAAAAAAATACCTAGTTTCCTCGCTTGCAATAAAGCCCTGTGCCGACATTTTACCCTCCTTGACCATCATAATATCGTCAGCTGCATATGACGTAGTGAAAGATGACATTTAAGTATTTACCGCATTATATAGTTTAATGCAATAAAATGTGTATGGGGGGGGGGGGGAAGACAAGCCGTGCTCTTATAGCCTCCATCCCGCAATTGACTCACAAATATCAGCACGCATGTATGAAATGTTTTAAGGAAGAAATAAGCATTTAAAAGTAGACATTTGCCGGAAGCGATACGGGTAAACGCAGTGCCGCAAGTCATGAATGTGAGTCAATTGCGGGATGGAGGCTATTTAATGTAAGATTCATCTCATTTATTTCGGAGAACAAAAAATGAAAGAACAAGAAACATCATTTTACCCAAAAAATAAAAATACATTAATTTGAAATTTTGAACACGAACAGCAAGATTCAAATATTCCATGGATTCTAAATGTGAAATTTTGTTAAACCTAAATCAAGGAATTGCAAAATTGTTACATTCATTTTTGGTGTAAAAAATGTCTAAAATGTTTGTTTACATAATCCATTATTGAATATTAATAAGATCCCTGATTCTGTGCAGTAATAATAGTGGTGGTTATTATATCCATCTTTTTCACTCTGAAATATCGAGCAAATTAAATTTTGTAACAAAAAACACTTGCCATATAGATTTTTATTAATGAAAAAAAGAAAAACATTATTTTTACATGTTTGTCCAATTGGGAAACAAGATTAAACAAACGTCAAGGTTTAAATGGAAAATAAACTAAAATTTGTAAAATCGTACGTAATGAACTGAAAGTACGTTCCCCAAAAACTTACCTTTTTAAACTTTGATTAATGTTCAAAACCTAGATTTGACTGGCTGGCATTCTTCTGCAATATAATAAAGATTTGGTGACGGAGAAAACAATTTTCTAGACAAAAAAACAATTTGTGAGGGCACGACAGAAATAAAAGAAATAGGATGATCAACTAATTTATAAATATCTTCCAGATGCAGGGGTATATATTCCCCCCTCCCCCCCCACCTCTGAGGGTGGGGAATGAGTTATGATGCTGAGGAGAAAACATAAAACCTAGACATCGAAAAAGGAAAGTTTTTTTTCCATTTCCGATACTTTTTACCCACCAAAATAATGTTCTTTAAATTAATTTTTTGGAGTATTATCAACCCCTGAAAATATTTTGTTTAATTGAAAAATTCAAGGAAGTGTTGACAAAAAATTGACACTTAATCTCAATTTGAGTATATCTGTGTTCAGTCAAACATATCTGTTTTTCGGAATAAGTTTTGTGAATGAGTAATGAGTATGTATGTTTAAATAACAGTGATTAAGTAATATTTTTCAAAATACAAATGCAAAATTTATAAATATCTAAAAGCCAAGTTCGTTTATCTCTTTCTGTTAAATTTTTGACATGTAATTTGTTGCTAAAATAATGCCAATAGTTTAAAATTAGGTTATCGCAGAAAAAACACTTTTATAAATGTATTTCAGAAAATACACTTTTATAAATGTATTTCAGAAAATACACTTTTATAAATGTATTTCAGAAAATACACTTTTATAAATGTATTTCAGAAAATACATTTGATCAATTTAGTTGATTTCTACGGACAGGCATTAAATAGTTAATGTTCTTAAAGTAACTTCTTGCATCGTTTAGAGAGAAAACATTAAGAGAGAAGGATTACAGATTTGTGGTGTCATTTCGATACTGCAACATTTATAAGTAATCATATCAATTTCGTCGTATTTTAAACAACTTTGATAAAAACAATCTTTGTAAATTTAAAAGCCTAAGCTGAAAAAATAGAGAGAGAAAACACAATAAATTTAAAAATCATAGTAATTTTGTAAGATGCTACAATTAATTATTATCACACAAAGCTCCATAACAAATACAGTAGTCCCCAGAATGACTGGAATTCAAAGACGATTTTATGAAAAATGGTTTCATCGTAATCAAAACAAAAATCAAAACTTCCCCCTTTAACAAAATTTTGAAATTTATAATTAGTAAATACAGTATACAACTCGATCCGCGGCAATATTAATCATTTTATCTTGGGTCGTCTTCCGTTCCAGAATATTCTGGCACCAACTGTACATTGAGCTATTAATCAATTTAATCAACATGAATGAAAAAAAAGTTAAACGGTGTACTGGGAACCCAGCAATGGTTCATCTTCCATCTAACATAAGCAAACTTTTTAATGGAAAGAAGAAAAATTTTATTTTAAAAAGACAGAAATTTTCTCTTTATCGAGAAGGTTCAAGCCTTTTTAGATAAGCTAAAAAGGCGAGAACCTTCGAGGTATAGAGAAAATTTAAGTCCAAAAATGTATGAGCACGTCGTGCCAAAATAATAGTGATATGGGTAATTTTATGAAACGTTGGTGTACTTGTCTTATTTCAATGGCTATTTCTAGATCAAATAAGCTCTGAAACAAAGCAGAAGTCAAAATATAAAGTTGGGTTCAATTTTATTTTCATTTCAATTGAAAAAAAAAGAATATTTTGGAAATATCCTAAATTTTTTGGGGAAAATTTGGGAACCAATTAAAACTTTAAATCCCACGTGCTATAATGTACACTGTACAGCTAATTTAACATTATAGCACAATAATAACTTCATAGCACGATGATTACTTTATGGAAAGTGCATTATGAAATTCACGATGAAGTGAGTAAGAATGATAAATGTAAAAATTCTTTTATAAATTGACAAAGTTTGCGTTCCTGGAATTTCTTGCTCCAATCTGTTCTTGATGGACGAATGATCCCCAAGATGTTCCAACCTGGAGAAATACAATATTTGTACTGTTTTTCATATATTGTCCAATCTTTAACGGTTGATCTCGATATCCAGTGTGAGTACTTTGAAATTTGAGGACTTCATTTTAATTATCTCTGTAGGGTACCACCACTGATATCAATTTAGAATTGGATACCTTAATTCCTGATGGCTTAATCTAAATATCCAATGTGGACACTTAATTTCCTCCTTAATCCGCTCTTTTTCTCTCTTTTTAGATATCCGTTCTTTGATTGATCAATAAGAGTCCAATCATTAAATGGCGCGCAAAATTTCAAATTTCCTCGTTTCTCCAAACGTCATTCGATGAGAGATTTATCTTATAAACACTTTTGTTGACACAAACCTAAGATTAAACTAATCTTGATATCCACAATTCAAAAGTTTCCAGCTCGGGTCGAATAAATATTTGTAATACCTGCCACATCAACGAGGTTCTGAAGAACTCCCTTGTGGAAAGGAGATTTGATTTCCCCCCGCTTTCCGTGGAAATGTTTATATCGTCCCGTATTCATTCGTTCATTAGTTGTCATAGCCAGGTACATCACCTACACACACACAAAATAAAAAAGATTACAAATAATTTTAAAATTAATTTCTATTTTATTAGACATAAGCTGAAGAAAACGACGTTGCCCGTGGAATTAAAAAATATCTAGCCTTTGTTACCCCCGGGATATCTCTGGGTTCCCTCACTTGGTCCAGTCGTGTACCCAACTATAGCGGACATATAAATATATATATATGAGCGAGGAGCTTCATTATCTATTAATAATTTAAAGATATAAGATATAAGATATGTGAAACCCTTTTAAAAAGTCGTAAAATCATGAACAAAAAGGTGAACGTTTAACATTATCATCAGTTACTTTGCAATTGTAACGAAAGCTATGGAAGTACCAGGTATATTCGTTGAGCTGAAAACTTCAGAATGAGATATCCTTAATCCCAATTACTTAATCTGATTATCTAATGGACACACTTTTGATTTTCTTCTTAAATCGTTCTTTCTTGGATAAAGTAGAGAAAAATGATGAACCGGTTTTGTAGTTTAAAGAGTCCCTCCCGTTTCTATATAATCTTAAATGGCGCGCAAAATTTTTAATTTACCGGCTTCATATACGCGATTCTGATTGGTTGACTTTTATACACTTTTCAGGATATAAGTACAAGACTAGGTTAGTCTTGATATTAAAAAAAGAGAGGTTCGAGCATTAATCTCAATATCCACCATTCTAAAGTTTTCAGCTTTGGTTGGGTCAATATTTATAAATCTCAACCAATTAGAACAGAATTAAGGAGAGTTGGATAATGGTTCTTTATATTACAATGTGACGTAATGGACAGATAACCTTACCTGATATAGCTGACAAGACAGTAAGACAGGGCCCAGACTAACCTGATATAGCTGGCAGACTGTGAGGCAGGATACCCAGACTAACCTGATATAGCTGGCAGACTGTGAGACAGGACCCAGACTAACCTGATATAGCTGGCAGACTGTGAGACAGGATACCCAGACTAACCTGATATAGCTGGCAGACTGTAAGACAGGACCCAGACTAACCTGATATAGCTGGCAGACTGTGAGACAGGACCCAGACTAACCTGATATAGCTGGCAGACTGTGAGACATGATACCCAGAAAGCATGAAAGATCATGTTCATCAGAATCCATGTTACCCAGGGGGAACACAGGGCACCAGCTTTTACATACTCATACCACCCATCAGAGACAGGGTAAACACAGGCCTGGAAAAGACAAAAAAATATACTCGGACAGAAAAAAAAAATTAGAATCTGGATCTGCAATGTTTTGGCTTTCTGGAATCTGGATCGAAAAAATTAAGTGTAACTATAAAATACTAGATCCAAATCGTGGATCAATTATTCCTCAAATGGTTTCGCATCAAAGTATAATGTACACTAAGCTGGTATCTAACAACCTTTAATGAAGTGTTGACAAGATTCTATTCATTGTTTATTCTTTTCTGCCAATTTATAATTGACGAGAAAATATTTAAAGGTTCGTTGATATTTTTGTCATTATTGCGCATTTTTCAAAATTCAGAATTGTTATACTGGGGAAAGAAAGTGAGGGGGCGGTAACTCTATCCCCCCCCCCCTCCTTACCTCTGATATGTAAACGATACACCCGTATGCACTAGTAATCGCTAAACATGAGAGGAAGATAAGATAACCCAGAAAATAGGAATGATTCTTTTCTCCAATACAGTTGCCAACCCAGGGGCAGTGATGGTCAAACCTAAATACAAAATATAAAACAAGACATTCGTATATATATATATATGTTGTGTATAGCCGGCCAAACGGCTGGACCGATTGGGCTGAAATTTTTTGTGGACACTCATGGGTGGCCGGGGGTGTTATATGCTAAAAAAATGTTTTGTTTTTTTCACAACATATTTTTTTTAATATATTTTTTTTCGAATTTTTTCTTCAAATTTTTTTCACGGGCAACGCCGGGCCCTTTAGCTAGTACAAAATAAAAACATGTCTAGAGATTGTTTTTCATTCCATATGGAATTACTGGTACGACCTCGTAGCACCTCTAGTTTTTAATTTACTTACATACAACTGTTTGGGATTGGAAGTTATTCAATTTATGTTAATTTTTCTATTTTAGAATGTTAAATTGTTTGTTGTAAAGTTATAACATTTAAATTGAACAAGCTGTTAAAATTAAGCATTTCTTTGGTATGCAACATTTTTTATAATCATGCTAATTTAAAAACTTATTTTTACAGGTCCAGCTTTTTACAATGAATAAATAAAAATTAGGAACAATGTAATCAATTTCCTTTAAGCTTTGAATTTTCTAACTGTAAATGATAAATTGTTTTTTTTTTTGTGAGCAAAAAGGTGAAAAACATGTAAATTATTTTCGATACTTCTTAAAAAAGTTTTAACCTTTATTTGATCCACAGTATTCTTATTTTTTATACACTACGCACAATGCACTATATACATCAAACAATTTCCTGATAATACGGTTTCCATACAGTTGCATCAAATACTATTTTTTTTCTCAATATTTTTCAGAAAAATGTTTAATATGATATTGTAACGATTTGAAGAGATTCTTCAAGAATTATTAAAAATCTAAATCTTTTTAGTGTCGAATATTTTGATCAAATATGTTCACAAAACACATATTAAATCTGAGTATTTTATTTTGTAAATATTTGGGAATACGCATGTTATATTTGTTAGTTTATTTCCTTTTTACCAAGGTTAAGAAACTATGTTCATTCTTTTTTTTCTCTCAAATTTTTCGTGGATTTACAGTGCGATTATTAGGTTAGGTCATTTTTGGTTTGTGTTTGGAAAATTGTAAATTCTTAACAATTGGTTTTGATACATTATACCAAATTTGACGCTGACAGAAAATTAAGCTTTTCATCTAATTAAGAATTACTTATTTGCGGAGGACGCAAACACACATGCACCTCAAGTAAATTCAACCTATATGAAGCATAAAGTCTGACCGCGTCAACCTTGTTGCACCGGCTAGTCCTGTCCATAGAGCTAGGTACAGTACAAACATAATATATCTAATATATCTAATATATCTAATATATCTAATATATCTAATATATCTAATATATCGAATATATCTAATATATCTTATATAACGAACATATATCTACCTTGAAATACATTTATCGCAAACTGAGCAGTGTTTGGATCTCAATGGTTTCCTTATTAAACATGAACTACAGAATTCAGCAGCTGTAAATCCATCCCGTTCTGTCAGCTCTATTATAGTCCTAAATCAATCAGAGTGTTAGGGACATCCTACTAGCCATATATAATTCACTTCTCAAATATTAGGTCTTCTAGATTTATCAAATCAATCAGAGTGTTAGGGACATCCTACTAGCCATATATAATTCACTTCTCAAATATTAGGTCTTCTAGATTTATCAAATTGTACAAAAAATCTAAAAATGTTTTTCCTTGACCAAATATTGGTTGATTTACATTGAACTAAATCTAACAAGGATATCCTTGAAAAAGCAAAAATTGGCTTGACTTGTAGGTTATATAGCTTTATGCGCAAATAGAAATATAAAAAGCCCATTTCAGCTTCTACCACGGTCAGATTTAGTGATAGAACTTTCAAAACGTTAGTAAATCACCATATATCTTTATGGGTTTTTGGTTGAGAGGCAAAGATAAAAATTATTTTTCCTATTTTTAGCCTGGAAAAGCCATAATTTTAACAATAACCTGTATTTGACCTCCTGTCTGTTACCTGTATTTGACCTCCTGTCTGTTACCTGTATTTGACCTCCTGTCTGTTACCTGTATTTGACCTCCTGACTGGTCCTTACAATACCAGGATCCCCTTGCCATGCCTAAACAAAAAAATAATAGTTTCTAAGGAATTTTAGGGATTTAGGGATTTTGAGGATTTAAGGGATATTCAAGATTTTAGGGGTTTAGGTATTTATGGGATTTAGGGGTTATAAGGGATTCAAGGGATTTACAGGATTCAAGGGATTTAAGGGATTTAAGTGATTTAAGGGATTTAAGGGATTAAAGGGATTAAAGGGATTAAAGGGATTAAAGGGATTAAAGTGATGTTGTATTCTGGATAGTTCGGTATATGAGTGAACAGTCCCTTGAATCCAACAGGACGCCAGAGAGATCAGTACATCCCGGACCCCTGCAGAGTAGACACAAGTCTCCCTGCACATAGACGTCCAGGGACCTGTGCTATATACAGTGCACAGACAGCTTACAGAGAGAACCTTTCCGGACGAGATAGAAGAAGATGAACCGTGTTCCCATCATCATGTGGAACCCTGCCTACCTAGAGGAACTGGAACCAGATGGAGGAGTTGTTCCAGTAGACCCTGCTACCTTCACAAGCGGGAACTCTCAGATCATCACTGCTCCGGCCTCAGAGGATGAAGATGTAGTTGAGGAAGTTGTTGAGGACAAAGATGAGGAGCATGATGATGAAGATCTACCCCAGACAATGAAGGATATGTATGACTTCCTTGGTGAACTATCTGAGAAGATCCAAACCTTCAATACTACCATGAAGAGGAGTACTAACCCTGGTCAGCCACCAGTGGTCCCTGATGATGTCCCAACTTCAGATGATGAGGATGTGACTGAAGATGTCCCAGAGGATGCTGAAGAGGATACTAAGCAGGTACTCCAAGATGCAGTCCAGAGCCTGTCAATGTTGAACGACGGGCTCAGGAGTGTATTGTCCCTTAGCAGGGACACCAGCTCGCCACAGCATACTGATGTCCCTAGAGTTGATATATGGGACACAGGGAAGGCTATCGAGCAGGAGTTCAGGCTATTCCCCAACCCGACCAGGAAAGGGTTGAAGGACCGGCTTGAGAACCAAGTATGGAACTTGCTCCAGATCATACAGGAACGAGTTGTCCAAGGAACCTACAATGATACAGATATAAGACTAGGAGAAGGATTACATGTCATATCTGTCCTACATGCTAGACTTGGTATCCTAACCGAGGTAGCACTTAAACATAGAGCTAAGAGACCTTAAGAATACCAAGGGATCTAAAGCTAATGTTAAGCTATTATTATTATTATGTGATTTATGTATGCATTTATAAGTGTATAATTAAATGTATCAATAAATGTAATTATGTTGTAAGAATGACTTATTACTTGGGTGTTTAGATTTGCAAGTGCATTCAGACATATAAGGCTATCTCTATATATGGAGATAGCTGAAGTATTGTAATGCCAGGTTGCAAAGCTATAGACGGCGCATGAGGAGTTAGGCCCGCGAGATAGGACTAACCCGATCTGCAATGTCATCAGGTTACACAAATGATAGATGAAACAAGTTAGAGTACTTGAGCAAAATCTCATTAAGTGTGAATTTTAAGATACCAATTTATTGCACGTTCTGTGGTACCAGGATACCACAAATGGCGCAGTGAAAGGTGTTTCTTTATGCCTAATTTGGGTTTTATATGACTAAATCCGAATTTTTAATAAAGAACTTAAAATCAGAACCTACACCCCTCCTCCTTTTGCACCCCCTCAATCTTTATAATTTTGTAAGTTTGGGGGATAGAAAGGCAGTTAGACAGAGAGTGAAATAAAGTAATAAAACTTTCAAACATAAAGCTTGTTTGGGTTTGAGTCAGCCATAAATCCGCTTCGTAACAGTTGGAAGATATTTTAAAATTCTGACTTTACAAATTGGGTAACGGACTCCAAACCCCCCCCCCTTCCTCTCTTATAAATGAAATGTAGAAAACTGAAATTAAATACAACAGTTAAAATTAGAAAATTGTTGATTAGTTCAAAACTAAATTTCAAGCAAATTTTATCTACATTCTTTATATTGCCACGTTAACAATTAATATGCTGAAAACGCGTTTTAAAATTCATAGAATGCGCTTAAGCAGAAATTAATTACATATTGTTAATTCTATATTACCGAATACATATGTAAAACGTATACAGTACATAGTACATAGTACATATCATGTAGTACATAGTACATAGTACATAGTACAATTCAGTTGTACTGGCAAAAGGAGATGCCCCCCCCCCCTAGGGGGATGGCAGGGGGATGAGCAATGCAATAAAATTTCATTAGTTGAGCTATATTGGATATTGAACCCTAAAACTGCTTGGCCTCAATATTTGAAAATTTTAGCTGAATGACTATTGAAAACGTGCTGAATTTTAAAACAAAGAGCTGAGCTAAATCCATAGCCATAAATTATGGGGCCAGACTTAGCTTGGTATCGAACCCAAGGTTAGGAGGGTTAACACCCCCTTTTACCCTCCAGAGAATATGTGCAGAGCCGCGGGTGGAAACTGTACCAACCAATAGCGTACGGGAATACGCCCGGCTCCGTCCATAACAGAGGTGCATTATCTTTTCCACCAATAGGAACAAGATCTACACCCAGTACTGTTTGGACCTAAAGCGCAATATTTAACCAAGGGTGGAGATAAGCACACCAGAAAAATGGGAAAGATTGCTCATTCTAATTCTAACCAGGAGAAGAAAAGGACTTCAGGTATACCCCGGACTTAAATTATTTAGACAGACGGACTGACAGTTAGTTACTCCGTAAGAATAGTTAAGTACCTATAGCGTAGGGTAGATAGAAGTCTCCAGATCACTCCAGCCTAGAATAAGATAGTGAAAATATTTAGTTGTTCTTTTTATCTACATAGTCTCCGGTTTGCAAGAACCAGAAACTAATAGTTACTTGGGTTTTATCAAATCCCTGTGACTTAAAATTCACTTGGGTTACTCCAAATCCCTGTGAATAATTATATATAATTCTTATTTCAAGTTCATTAGAATTTGAATTAAAGGAATAAACTGAGTTCTAAGGAATTAAGTTTTTTTCAAAGAATTATATATAATAAATATTTCGAGTTCCCCGGAATTAGAAATATATAAATAAACTGAGTTCCAAGGAATTAAGTTTTAAAGCTGTAAAATCCTGAGTTCAATTGAATTAAGGATAGGAACAGTAAAAGTTAAATTCTCTTAAAATTATTCTTAAGGCAGTGTGAAAAGATTGACAAATTAACTAATCTCTAACAATGCCTGGAGATGAGAATAATCCCGACCCCCAGCCCGCTGGAGCCTCCGCTGGAACGGGAGAAAATGCTATCCCTTCAGCGTCAGGAGTACAGCAGGCTGGAGGAGAAGTTCCAAATCCCACTCTACAAGCAATAGGTAACCTCCAGACAGCGTATAATGCTAATGGAGGACCTCCTGCAGAGAGAGGGAATGGGAGGGGTGGAGCAGAACATGAACGGAGGGTTCAGAATGGAGGCAGCAGGCGTGCCTCCGGTCAGAACCCCCAGGATTTACCTGCTCCCCCTCCTAATCCAGCACAGAATGACCCTCCCGTCGTTGACTTAGCATTGAAGGAAGGGAAGTTCTTCGTGTTGGATAGTCTGGAACCTTTAGGAATAGAGGGAGAAGACCGTTATGTACCCAACCAAAACGAAATCCTGTTCACCAAGTCTAAATGGAGCTTTGATGGACAAGATAGTTTTGAAGATTATGTGGTACGGATCGGGGGATATACCCGTACATTAGGAGTGGGTGAAATATGTTTTAAAAATACTTAGTTTCAATCCTTACGTCCTCCTTGCTCATTCATTGTATCGGATATGGAACCTTCTATGTCTATATACAGGAAGATGAGCAGGAAGGAATATGTACAGGCCCTCCATGAACGGTTGGAACCCGCCTCTGCTTGTGACCTCATTTATACTCAATTTAAAGAGAGGACGCAAAAAGCAGGGGAAGTATATGACCTTTATCTTCGTGATAACGGGAAAACTAGAATTTTCAAAGAATTCTGTGAATCCAGTATTAGAGGATTACACAATGAAATCTTGAGGAATAAGGCTAGAGACTTCCTCTCGATCCAGGCGATCAACGGGTTCAAGGTTGAAACGTTTGATCAATTGAGGCGAATTATACAAGTCTCAGTTGAAAATATTCAAGCTAGAACCATCACCGGAGAGCTGGATGCATCAGATGCAATAGGCACTGACATCCGCCTCATGAATTACAGTTACACTAACACTGCAAGTTCCCGTGAAAAAGAGAGGAAAAGCAGATATGAAGTGAACGTAATGGATGAGGATTTAGAGGAAGACGAAATCGCAGCCTTTAGAAGGTTCAAGAAATATCAAAATCAGATCGGTTATAAAGCTAAAGGGATTAAAGGATTTACTGTTCCTGGTAGACAACCTGCAGAAGACGATATTTGCTATAATTGTAATGGTAAAGGTCACTTCAGCAGGAATTGTCCCCGGAATAATTTACCTGGACGTTATCAGAACGTTAACAAGGTAGAGAAGTCCAATCCTGACACCTCTGATGATATTACAGGAAACCAGGATACTTCAAGCTCTGACTCTGATCTAGAAATAGATTATGTAAAAGAGAAGAAGAAACCTAAAACCAGCCAAACAAAAAGCAAGAAAAGTCGTCGCCATATCTATCAGATAGTAGAGGAACAGGGTGAACAAATTAATTCATTAAATGCAAAAATGTCTGAAGTTTGTACCCTGAGCTCACAGCTATCTGAACTGATGTCAACCATGTCAGGACGGAAAGGAGAGGTGAACACTCTAGGTGCAACCTCTGTATTCCCTCCAGACGTGGAGGACATCAATAGAGAAGGCAACGAAGATATATTCACTTTTTTATAGGCAGCTCATTATGTCGCAATAGACCGAATGTACAAACAGAGAAATATGCGTCTCTGGGTTACATTCGGGCTATGAAGAGTGGGTCCAGAGTCTTTATCAAAGCATTGATAGACTCTGGAAACCTCTTTGGCAACATAATGAGTGAAAGGTTAGCCAATTTACTGAAAATCAAATATAAACCGTGTACAAATAAAGCTGGTACAGCTGTTGCAAACCAGAAAGTACATGTGTTGGGTCTGGCAGATCCATTTGATTTAGTACTAGAAGGGTTAGATGATCCTATTACAATTCAACCTTATGTAATCCGTTCTTTAAGTCATGATTTAAATCTTGGAGAACACTTTTTACGAAGGTATAAAGCTGGATTAAAATTTGAGGGAGACAAAGTGACCTTAAATTTAAATAATCATAGCTTAGAATTGGTTAGCAGGTCCAAACCGCTAATTAGGAACTCTAAAGATCAAAGATTTATTAGTGTTATGGAAAGGGATAAAGAGTGTAGAAATATTATTGAATCTATACCTGATCCTAATCCTAACTGTATTGAAGTTGATGATACTGCATTCTCGGTGGAAACTGTACATAAAACAGTACTACCTAAAAACACATTAACATTTGTTGAAGTGTCTACTAAAATGAATGCAAACTTTGGATTCTTTAAGTGCAAAGAAAATAATGCATTTATGAATTCCAACCTACTTTTTCCCTTGAATGGAATGTTTAAATGTGATAAAAACAGATTTTTTGTCCCAATATTAAACATGGGGGATAGAAACACAATTTTACAGTCAAAAAGAAGGATTGGAAATGTGTACCCCGCCTCAAATTTGTGTTCAAAGGCAGAAATCAATCAATCAACTAATCAATCAATCAATACACTAAGTCATAAACCTTACATGAATTGTCTAAAGAGGAAGTTCAAGAAAGAAGAACTTTTCTTAAAGAACAATTAGAGGTTAAAAATATGATTATAAATCAAGATCAACAGGAACAAGTTATAGATCTGTTTATGAAATATTTCGACGCTGTATCTATTAGCAGCGAAGATTATGGTTCATCAGACCTATTACAGTTCCATATAACCCTTTTACCTGGCTCACATCCTGTACGAGCTCGTTGCAGGCCATTAAATCCACTACAGGAACAGGACTTAAAAATCCAACTTGACGAGTGGTTGGCCAGCGGCGTCATTGAACCTTCCGTCTCTCCATGGGCATCAGCGCTCGTCCCTTGTAAGAAGAAAGGGACAGGTCGTCTTCGTTGGAGTATAGATTTCAGGTCGATCAATGATCGTACGATCAAGGATTCTTATCCTCTTCCATGTATAGAGACTAACCTACATAAGTTAGCTGGAGCAAAGATCTTTAGTTCACTGGATTCGGCCGGAGCTTTTCATTCTTTAACGATTAGCCCTGCCAGTCGAGATTACACTACCTTTGTTTCACCCTTTGGCACGTACAGGTTCATTAGAATGCCTTTTGGCTTATCTAATTCACCTAGTGCTTACTGTAGGTTAGTGCAGATGGCGTTATCCAAACTTCCACCTGGATTCGCCATCGCCTACCTTGACGATATATTGATCTATTCAGATACCATAGTAGATCACATGCGTCACTTGGAAGCTGTGCTAAGGATCCATGCTGAAGTTGGTATGAAGATCAATCTCAGCAAGACTAAGATCTTCAGAGATCAAGTCACTTATCTGGGTCATCTAGTCAGTCATCAAGGAGTTGAAATGATTCCAGATTACATTTCTAAGATTCAGCTCTGGCCCATTCCTAAAACAGGGAAAGAGTTAATCAGTTTCCTGGGTTTTACCTCATATTACCGTGCATTTATACCGAAATATGCTGAGGTAGTAGCCCCGTTGAACAAATATAGAAATGAGAAAGAATTGGAATTAAACCCTGATAAAATATCTAGGATTAATCAACTTAAGGGACTGTTCCTAACCAAGCCAATTAGGGCTTACCCGGATTACAAGTCCACAGAACCTTTTATCCTAGATACTGACTTTTCAGGAGTAGCAGCAGGTGGTGTTCTTTCCCAAGTACAAGGCAGGAAGGAACGTTTTATAGGCTGCTTCTCCAAGTCCCCTTGATACAGCTTAGAGACAGTATCCAGCTCATAAAGGCGAGCTGTTAGCTGTCATTCTAGGGCTCCGGAAGTTTGAACATATACTCCGAGCCCGGAAATTCCTGATTAGAACAGACTCTTCAGCTATAACATTCCTCAAAGGGCTGAAAGAAGCTCGGGGAATATTTGCTCGATGGTTAGTGTATTTATCATCCTTTGATTTTGATATTATGCATAGACCAGGAAAAGTAAATTTAGCTGCAGATGCTTTGTCCAGGACTGAGATGCCTCAAGATGAACAGGACAAGGAAAACCCAGATAAATATTTGGTTTATCAAATTACACCAGATAAATCAATCAATCAATCGGGAAAATCAAAGGGACTCTGTGTACTTAATATAGAGCCTAATTCTAAGTTTTCAGTGAACCCAGTCCTGGAAAAAGATTGGAAACTGGAAACTAAGAAGGATTACCCTTTACAGTTAGTCTTAGATATAGTTAAAGCCGGAAAATTGCCAAGCCAGGAAGAAAGGAAGCAATTGCCCCCTTTGACTAATTTGTATTTAAACTGGTTTGAATTTCTCTATGTGAAAGACGAACTATTATATTTACAAAGACCTGTAAAGGAAGGTAAAACAAGTCCTCCCAGGATTTGTGTACCCCGTTCTATGCAGAGAGAATCGGTAGAACTGGCTCACGCTGGTCACCGCGGGATGACCGAAACTCTTGACAAACTAAGGGCTAAGGCATTTTTCCCAGGAATGAATAATCTGGTCACTTTAATTGTGACTAACTGTGTGCCATGCATTCAGAAAAATAATTCAATTCCCTCTGCTAAGAACAAAGTACAACATCATGAGATACTAGGATACCCATTTCAAAGAGTTTACCTGGATACAGTAGGTCCGTTGACTCCCTGCAGATATAAAGGGATTGTCTGCAGACACATTCTCACTGTACAGGACGGGTTCACTAGGTATCTTGTAGCTGTACCAATTCCAGACCTAGAAACAAAAACCATATTAAATGCATTGATTGATAGGTTTTTTCTGGTTCATGGGATGCCAGAGACGATTCACACTGATAATGGAACCTCTCTGATGAGTCATTTATTTCAAGACACTTGCAAACAAATGGGTGTTAAAATGACGCAAACCCCCATACATCCTAGCATGATAAAAGGTGAATTCCTTAAAGGCTGGGTAGAGGAGAAAATCTTACAGCTGCATCCAGATATGATTGAGGCCAAACTTGACTCTGTAACTAAGTCAGATACGTTTGCAATCTTAAAGAAGTTCCTGAACGTCTTGGACAACAGTGGTCAGCTGACGGCTAGGTTGCCTCAAAGCATATACCAGCCCTGCTACAAATTTGTTGGTCGCAATGATGAACCCAGGTGGATTAACGATGCCTACACTCTTGGAACGTCGACACGCTTCAATAAGGCGTTGAATTCCTTGGTCAAGCACGTTATTGGGCGTAAATTAAGTTAATATCCTCCTGAGGGGGACTGGGATTTCACTCAACAGGTTCACCGGCTTCGCCCAGGCTGAGGGTAGAGTCGTGAAGGAGAGGAGTAATGATGATAATTATCCTTCTCCCCTTGATCTCCTGAACTTGTGCGGGTTACCTCTACCAGCACAATACCAGGCTGAGGAAAACCAGAAGTTGATGCAGAAAATGGATCTCCAGGCAGAGGAGAACCAGAAGCTGAGGGAAAAGTTGGATCATCTAATTAATATTCAGATCCAGACCTCCCAACAGATCAATGAGCTTAGGGGTATTATCCTCCAGGCATCCTGTGTCAGCCAGACTGCCGCTGCTACACTCCCAGATCCGTTGATCGATGATAGACAGTCTATAGACAGTCTACTAGCTGATGATGATGGACAGGATATGGAGCAGGGAGTGCCTAGAACCCAGCATCAGGAACTGAATGTTGCTCAGGTATTTGAAGCTGATTATGCACTCCCCCCACCCGCTGTTGATATCCTGCGTGCATCTGTTGACAGTATCATGGTCGACGGGGATATGCAGGAACAGAAACAGGATAATCTTGAGCCACAGGTTCCTATTGATGACATGTGTGAAGATCTAGAACACACCATGCGAACCTGAATTATAACATTGTAAATTATTTAACCCTATTCCCGCTGGGGGGGGTCAATTTGACCCCCCCCTGTAGTTTTTTTTACATAACTCAAAAAGTATTGGTCTGAGTCTGTTGAAATTTTTCTGACTTTTCTTACATACCCAAAGCCCTCCCTTTAGGCCTAAAACCGGGCTTTAATACTAACTGCCTGAGTCCTCAGGCACACTGCCTGAATGACTGCT